AACCATTTTTGCCTAGTGTAACGCATCCTTGTCTCTTACAGTAGTTTTAGGCACACTTGCCTGTAATATAGGCATTTTCTACACATATTTCCAGCTGGAGTGTGAAAGTTGGAGAGACGTGCATAGCTGTGTTTCGGTTTGTGCATTTTTTCAGCGAGTGTAAAGTTCATAGGTTCGGGTTAAGATGTGAATCAAACTGGGGGCTCAGCCCTTCGCTGTTAGGGCAGGATGGCCTCTTATTTCCTCCTGGCAGGAGGATAGAGAAAATCTTTGCCCACGTCAGCCTGGCATGGAAACAATCTAATACTTGGCACATGTCCAATGAAGATCTGTTTAAAAAGAACCCCAACCCACATCTCTGATCTGACCTGCCGCTAAGATTAGACCGGAGGATTTACAACATGCTTCAAAGCATATGTTTAAAAAAAACACCTCTTTTTCTTTTTCTGGCACATCGTGTGGTTCATCAGCAGAACTCAGACTGGTTATCTTATCACTTGGGAGAATCCTAACGCCCCCAATTAAAGCATTTGCCTTCTTCCACTGCCAGGCATCCCTTTGCTAGGCAAGTCTCCCATTCTCCGTTTGTTGCAGAGCAGATTAGATTTTGTGACACCCTGCTTAGAGAGCCCCCAGCTGTGGCCAGCAGAAGTCACAGTTATACACTACTCCTGCTCCTTTAAGAGCACAGACATTCCACTGCTGAGGTTGCCAATTGGACTTGCTTGTATGCCTTAAGCCAGTGGTTTTCAACCAGTGTGCCGTGGCACCCTGGGGTGCCTTGAACGATGGTCAGGGGTGCCGTGGGCAACACTGGCCTCTGTCCCTCTTTCCTTCCCTCCCTCCGATGTTCTCTCGCGTCTCTGCTTCCCAAAGTATTGCGTGGCTGTTTGTTGCAGCAGCCCTGGCTACAAGCTCCCCAGGCAAATGGTGCCTCTGGAAGGTACCTTTCTTTGGGGTGAAGTGGGGAGCAGCTCAGAAATGTAGCAGCAGGATCTGTTCTCAGCAAGCAGATACATGATGTGTGTTGCCAGCATCTGCTGATCTAGCAGCTATGAAACAGTCAGGAGAGTGGGCTGCTTGAGAACATTGGCACATTGACCCACCAAAGCTATTCTCCAGGTGAAGGCATAAGAATTTAAGAAGAGCCCTGCTGGATCAGGCCAATAACCCATCTAATCCAGCATCTTAGTCTCACAGTGGCCAACTAGAAGCCCAGAAGCAGAACTTGAGCTCAACAGCAACTCTCCCGTCCTACAGATTCCCACAACTGGGGTTTAGGAGCATTACTGCCTTCAACTGTGGAGACAGGGCATAGCCGTCAAGACTAGTAGCTACCAATAGACTTCTCCTTCACAAATATGTCTAATCCTCTTTTTAAACCATCCACCTTGGTGGCCATCACTACATCCTGTGGAAGCGAGTTCCATAGATCAACTCTGGGCTGTGCCAAGACGTTTCACCTGCTCTGCCTCTTTTCCTTCCCTTCGTTCTTGAATATTGATGGAATTGCCTTTTCTGCCTTTTAAGGCTGCTTTTATAAGGCACAGGAGCAAGGCCAATTTTAAAAAAAGAAAGAAGTGGCAACCTGATATGAAGCCCATCTCTGTGCCAGGAAGATGTGGTTTCTGCAAATCCTGCAGCCTCAAATATTGCTTCTGCATTCTTTAAAGTATTGATCCATATTTTTTTTTTAATCCCACCCTTCTTCTGAGTGGCTCAGGAAAGGATGTATGCTTTCCCCACCCACTGTTTTATCCTCCCAACAACCCTGGGAGGCTAGGAGGTAAGGCCGAGAGATGGTGACTGGCCTAAGGTCACCTCCTGAGCTTCATGGCTGAGTGGGGATTTGAGCCCAGGTCTTCCTGGTCCTAACCTGACTCCCTAAGCCAGGGATGAGGAACCTCTGGCCCTCCAGATGTTGTTGGACTTCAGCTCCTATCATAGCTGGCAATTGGTCCTGCTAGCTGGGGATTCCCTCCCCACAGAGCTGCATCTGGACATTTTGTATTTTTCATTATATGCTGAAGAAGCACCTCTTTACCCTGTCCTTTTGATTGATCTTAGGAACCTATTTTAGCATTGTATCATTAAATTGTTGTAACATGCTCTGGGACCTCATGGTGAAGGGCAGTTAAGAAATCTTAATAAATGAAATCATCATCATGTGATTTCTCCCCATGGCTGAGCAACTCTATATCTATCTGTCCATCCATTCATCTATCTATGCAGAGAGATTTCTCTCTCTCTGTTATCTATACCCTTTACAAGCCTCTCAGCAGCCCAGTCATTACACAGCTTTGGTCATTCTATCTCCTCCCTCCGTGGACACACCTATAAAAAACAAACAGAACAATCTGCTTGCGGGATCTAAAATTCCTACCATCCCTCCTACCCTGGAGGATGAATTCCAGAGAGTTCCTGGAAAGGGAGAGGCTTGTGATTCTTTTCGGGAGCTAGGAGTTTACACAAGCCAGGCTTAGCTAATACCAGATGGTGCCAGAGCTGACTCCTGTGTAGTCAAGGGCAGGGCGAGGCAAAAAACCAGAGCTGGGAAGCCAGGAGAAGGCCAGAGATCTGTTGAATGCCAGGAGATGTCAGGCTCCTGTAGAGGCTGGTCCATTTGGGCAAATGGGGCAGTGCCCCAGCAACTGCACTCTGCCCTCAGCTTGTCCCCACCTGCCTTTCTTACAACTAGCCTAGGAGGTGGCGCTGGACGACAGCTTCCTTCTGTCAATGACTGTGGCGCCACCTACTGTTGGTCTCCCTGTGTTCCGTCCTACCAGTCCCAATGTCTAGCTCTACAAGCCTGATCCTGGAAGCTATTATGGGTGGAGTCTTGGTGTATCAGCTGACACACTCTGTCCTATCAGCAAAAGGCAAGGGCACCCTTTTTGTCTCCGACCTAATGAATTGGTTAAAGGGCAATTGGAGAATGGAGTTTACCTGTCAGGGAAGATGATGGGCCATTCAGTCAGGAGTGAGGAACTTTAGGCCTGGAAGATGAATGTGGCCCTCCAAGTCTCTCAGACTGGCCCTTGGGACTCTCCCCAGGCCACACCTCCTCTGCCAGGCCACACCCCTCACCGCCCCTGCGTGGCAGCCTCCTTGATGGTGGCATTGCACAAGGGAGAGCAGGGGAGCAGAGACTGCTTCCCCCTTCCTCCTTCAAAAGCATCTGGGAAGCCACAAGCAAAATACCAGCATACACAAGGAGCCAGTTATTACAATGACCTGGGGACTCCTCTGCCTTTCTAACGACACCTCCTGATCTCCTTTCAGCATCTCACTCAAGCCAGCAAAGTGCTCCGTCCAGTTTGACGTCTCAATTGGAGACCAATTTTGCATTCGTTTGGAATGCGCACAGCACCACAGATGCTGTCTTCCTTCAGATGCCTTTTATAGAATTCTGAGCAGTTGGGGAATTGGGAGAAGATGAGGAAATCCAGTAATTCTCGTAGGCTTGTTTATTCCTTTCATTTTGCCTGTCCTGAATCTTCCAAAATTCAGCTTCACCACATTACTCCCGATTTCTGGTATTATGGGAGCGGGGGTGGGAGAGAGAATATATTATCCCCATCCATTTTCTCCACACCATGGTGCAGAAGAAGAGTCCAGGCAGTTGCAAGGGAAATGCTTTCACACTCACAGAAGGCAGTTGAGCAGGCAGCCTCAGCAATAAGGGGGATCAGTGGCCATGGTGGCAAGGCCAGGAGTTGACTGGGACCCCTGCAGGGAGGATGGGCCTTGACATGTGCCCAGCCACGCCTACCTCTGCATGATAGCAGAAGACTGTCTTTCTTCCATGCCCCCCACCCAACAACCCCAGGTTTCTCTAGAACTCAAGACTGGACCACTGGACCTGCTGAAGTACAGAGCACCGGAGCCACCACAGAGTTGGCCCTGTTCTAGATCCCCCACCAATCTAAAGGTTCCTGGCACTGCAATGCTAGCCAGGAGGGCTCAGAAGGTGAGAGGCTCACCGGAGTGAAAAGGACAGCTTGGAAATAAACAGATTTTGGGGGGTGGGTGGGACGGAAACAAATGTCATAATTTGCAATGGAAATCAGAGAAGGAAGAAGAGAGTGCAGTGATTCAAATTAACTGTATTCAAAGTATTGGTTTTGGTTATGAAATCCAGGAGCAGGATGGGACCTGATATTTCTGTGGGACTTTTTTTTAACCCCTTACTGGATCATGCCCATCCAATCCAGTAATTTATAGGGAACAGTGCATGAAGGCAACAGGTCTCCCCTGTCATTCGCTCCCACCCTTTGTGATATAGAGGTATACTGGCCCTGAAAGTGAAGTTTCCATGTAGCTAAAAGTCATTCATGGGGGCCTCTATGAATTTGCCTGTGTTCCCCACCCCACCCCAGGGTTATAGAGGCAATATAGTGGTACCTCGGGTTAAGTACTTAATTCATCCCGGAGGTCCGTTCTTAACCTGAAACTGTTCTTAACCTGAAGCACCACTTTAGCTAATGGGACCTCCTGCTGCTGCTGCGCCGCCGGAGCACGATTTCTGTTCTCATCCTGAAGCAAAGTTCTTAACCTGAGGCACTATTTCTGGGTTAGCGGAGTCTGTAACCTGAAGCGTATGTAACCTGAAGCATATGTAACCTGAGGTACCACTGTACAGTCATAATATTTCAACAGCAGCTTCACAACAGCTGATACTAAAGCCAGTGGATCTGAAAGCTCATGCCGTAAAATGTAAAGATTTGTGGGCAGAAGAATTCGGATGCAGAGGAGATTGAACTGCTGGTGGAGGTCACACATTACCCACTGCCTCCTGGGACATTTTGGTCATCAGCGTGGAATTTTGCGCTTTTGTTTTTCAGTCCCTGCCCCAGTGAAGGGCATTATTTTAACCTGACAATATATCCCCCCCAGATACATTGGGGAAGTGAACTCTGTGAAAGGCCACAGCTCAGTGGTGGAACTGTGAAGAAGAGCCATAGCTCAGTGGCAGAAAATAATAATAATAATAATAATAATAATAATAATAATAATAATAATGTTAAATTTTTATTTGTACCCCGCCCTCCCCGGTTGGAGCTGGGCTCAGAGTGGCTATAAATAATACAATATCTATATGCTTTGAATGCAGAAGGTCCAAAGTTCAATCCCTGACATCCCTAAGTAGGGCTGGGAATGTCCCCTACCTGGAACCCTGGACCGTCACTGCCTTTCAGAGAGGACAATACCAACCCAGATGGACCAATAATCTCCCTTGGCATGAGGCTCACTTCCAATGGTACATGTTCAATCTCTGGCACCTCTAGTTATACAGGTCTAGCATCAGGCAATGGGGAAAGACCCTTCTCTCCCTAAACCCTGGGACGCTGCTGCCAGTCTGAGTGGGCAGTAGTGGGCTTGATGGATCATTAGTCTGCTTTGGTATAGAGCAGCTTGTGAAGAGCTTTGCACTGGTGGGTTTGGCCATGTTCTCCCCCTACCGCGCAAACTCAGAAGAATCTGTTTCCCTTTCCTGCCCTGTCATGCAGCCCGAAGCCTGACTTTGCACAGAGTTGTGTGATTCATTCCCTTGTTCCCCCTCCCTCCCTCCATTCCCCCTTTCACCCAAAGCAACCCTAGGGCAGGCTGCATCAGGCAGGGAGTGGCTACGTAACCCTTTCCTCTCGGGTCATTTTGCAGCTCAAAATTGACCCGCCCAAGCTGCTCCCCTTCCGACTAGTGAAGGGGCGACAGTGACTGTGGATCTCCCATCTTCCTCTCAAATCCTTCCAACACCTGCTAGTAGGTTTAAAAAAAGCCGCTTTGGAAGTGTGGTTTTGAAGTGGTGGAAATAAAATATGGGTCACAGGCAAAAAGAAATAAGTGGCCTCTTCTGCAGCTTTCTCTAGTTCGGATGCTTATGCCCAGGTTTTTTTAAAAAACACAACCTAACCCATGACACCACCAGGGGAGAGAACTGTGGAACTCCATGCAGTATGAGCCTCTGTTGAGTCTCCAAACAAGACTGGCTTCTTTTTTCTTTTCTCATTCTCTGTACAGTTGCATTCATCACCATCAACCTTTATTACGGTCCAGAGACCCAACAAATCATTACAAAGCAATACACAATTCGTACAGCCTACCTCCAGGTTAAACAAGCATTTTGTTCAGAATATAGGGATCATTGGTTCTTGCAACCACTGATCAAAACTTGGCCACTGCTAATGTTCTAGCGTTTGTCCGGTCTTCCAATAGGAACCTGACATAGCGAGCCTCTGATTTTCCCGGGAAAGGTACCAGCAAGGGTAATATCAGTTCAGCCCCGGCTTGCTCATATTTTGCACAGTGCAACAGTTGCATTCATTTCCCACTCTTTGCATCCGGACCTTTTACTGCAGAGCAGCCTTTGACCCTTGTCCTCAGCACAAGACAGTGTTCTGCTGCTGGGCATGCAAATAGATCTGAGAGGAGGGTGGGGATTGGAGAATTAGCTGCTGATGTCACAAGAGGGAAATGTCTCAAGGGAAAGCAATACTAGTCCCCTCCTATGCTATTCCTTGGGGGAAGGGGGTACTGGTTGCAAGTTCTCTAAGCATCGTCTTTTAGATGCCCTTCCCTCCTTCAGCTTTCAGGTGTTAGCTTCCTCTGCTTGCAATGACAAAGGGATCCCAGAGCAGAAAGTTGGGCAGACAAATGGGCATGCAAACATATGGGGCATAAGAATGGGTCAATGGTTCGTTTTTGGTTTGTCTGGATTTCTCATTTTTTTCAATCTTCAATTCACATTTGTGATGGGGGGGGAGTAATAATGAAAATTCACCATTTTAGGGCAAATTTGTTTTCATAATACTGACAATAACGAACAACAACGCAACTGACAGCAACTGATTAGCTACGTTGCACATAGGAAGCCGTCGTACAGACAGTATTGTATATTTCAGTAAACATTCTGAAAACAAAGATAATCTTCTCCTGTATCCATCTGTGTTTATGAAACCTTTCATTCATTAGGGCTTGAGATCCTTGCCCCCCAACTGATGTGCAAATATGAAAATCTGAACTTCATATATTAGAAGGTTAGATAAACCAGAAACTGAGAGGAAGTGGAATTGAGAGATTTGCCTAGCCTTGCTTTCATGTCCGTTGTATTTTGGCTTGCTTGTGGGAGCAAAACACTTAATAAGATAGTGGAGCCCCCCCCAATCTTTTGCTATTCATATCACAGGAGAAAAAGGGTTAAAGAGTCCTTTGCTTGGAACCAGTTGAAAAAGGGACTCTGCCAGAGCCTCACTCAACATCTACATGGGGGGGGGGATGACTTAAAAGAGCCCTTTGTCCATCTCAGTCTGGAAGAAAGCAACCAAGATTCATAATGGGGCAAGGGACTCTGCCAAGGCCTCCCTTTCTGTACAGACTTCAGGAGAGAAATGAGCCCTTTGCCAATATTGCTCAGCTTAGAAGTGGATGAAGTGCACAATAATGTTCATGCTCTTGTGATCAGAAGCTCTTTTGGTGTTCAGATGAAAAGGCTTTTTGGGGAGCTGGATATGGCCTCCATATTTCCTCTCCTGCCTCTAATGGGAAGAGGGGAAATTACCAATCTGTGCGCCCTAGCATGGCCGATTAAGGAGTTAACAAGCCGTAGAAAGCCACCGCCTTCTATTTGCCTTGGATTGGTACCCATTTATGTGAATCATCTTGTTCAAACAGTAGGCTGATACTGGAAGAAAAGAGGCCACTCTGTACCAGGCAACAAGATCTGTTGGAAAGAAAGCAGGCCCTCCTTTGGAAATGAAGCGAGCTCTGTTCAGATCTTTGGAATCGTCAAACAGAACCGCAATTGATCCCAGACAATGTGCCAAAAAAGTTGGGCAGAAGTTTGGCAGTTTCAGAAAGAGATGAAACTCCCAAACCGTTCCCAGTTAAGCTGCTTTATTCAATTAACGGCAGCACCGAAACAACTTCACGCCAACGCAGCAATGCAGTGAACAAACGCTGGAGTTATTTTCTTTTTCTTCCTTGCCTGGATATCTGAGCTTTCTCTTTCCTCGTTGAGAGGCTTTGGGAAGCAAAGCAGAAACTTAATGTGCTGGGTTACCTGAGCGAGCCCTTCCCTCCCCCCCCCCCGCAAAAAAATCCAGGATTCCAAAAGCAACCAGCTTACAGGTTTTTCCTGTTCAACCCAGGCTTGAACAGGAACCTAACTGAGCTCTGGAACCGGATCCACTACCAGCTTAGAGGCTGGACCTGGAAAAAGATCCCTGGAGTGTGTTAACCCTTTGCTTGGCAGTCTATGCCTCTCTCTCTCTCTTGCTCCTTACACATCTAAGGGGTAAAAAGAGACAGGGTTGAGAGGTGACATTCAGTGAGGGAGTAACTCACACAAGGGTAAAAATAATGCAATAAAAGGACCTGTTGTTCAGGAGAATATCCAGCTGCCCATGTGGGTGAGTTGTCATCCATTAGCAGGTGTTGTTCAGTTTTCTTAAGTGGGTGCACCACCTGAGATATTAAAATGTGTGATGCTGCTGCCTCTCATAGGAGCATGGGAAGCTGCCTTATCTTAAGTTAGACCACTGGTCCATCTAGCTCAATATTGTCCACACTGGCTGGCAGCAACTCTCCAGGATTTCAGATCAAGAGGCATTTCCACCTCTACCTGGATATGCCAGCGAGGGAATCTAGGACCTCCTGCATGCAAAGCAGATTTCTGCCGAGCTGCTCTGAAACACCACAAGGTCAGAGCTGGGCCAAATGTCACCACATTTCAGCCCAATTTGAAGAATGGTGTGAATGAAACTGGGGGACAGGGAGTGAACCCCTGAAGACATTTTGGGGCTGGATAAGCCTTTGGCCTGATCCAGCAGGCTCTTCTAATGTGCCTTACCTTGACTTCATTTTTGCGTGGTAGAGAATTCACCTGCCCATGTATTTCGTTTCTTCTTCCTTTTCTCATCCTCCTCCCCCTCTTCTTTTAAAAATAACCCACCTTAAGTTCAGCTGCCCCCATTTCTTCCCTCATCTTCCAAAAGCCTGGCTTTGAGTGTTTTGTTTTGCCTTATCTCTCCACCCACAGTCTGGCTAGATGTGCAAAATCTCTTCCAGAAACTCACCAACACACACACACACACACACACACACACACACAAACCTACATAACTTTAAAGCTTGGAACATTGCTTCACGGAACAATGCAATCACATTATTTTGTGTGATTCCTCATGGGTTGCCTCCTGCTCAGATGCCTTTGGGGCACACAGTTGCCATGGCAAACTCTTTGCCTTGACCTTGGCTCCCACATTCTGCCAGGAAGGGGGGCGGCAGAGACCCCCTTCCCCCTCCCCATGTCCTCCCTCTGTGGGGATTCGATCCAGGTTACTCACATGAAAGGCAGTGTAGTGTAGTGGTTAAAGGCCAGGGTTCGGATCCCCTTGGCTGCGAAGCTCTCTCTGGGCGACCTTGGGCCAGTCCCTCGCTCTCAGCCTAACCTATCTCACAGGGTTGTTGTGTGGATCAGGCAGAGATGAGGAGAGCTATGTTTGCCACCTGTATGGGACAGCTGCATTGCAGGGGGTAGGTCTAGATGACCCTCAGGGTCCCTTCCAACTCTATGGTTCTATGATCTTTGATCTAAGTCTTCTGCAAAACCTCAATTTCCTTGAAGGAAAGAAGGTGAGAGACAAATGCAGTAAATACTAAGGAGGCCACTTTACTGTGATATGATTGGTCCATCTATTTATCCATTTTCACTTAACAACATTTATATACCACTTGATTGTAGTAAAACGTCCAGATCAGTAGGTGGAAGTAAACACCCCCCAACCCCATCACCCCCTGGGACAAGATAGTAAGTGATACAGCTTAGGATGCCATGGGCTAAAGTGCAATGGTTGGCAGGTATCATGATTCTGCTTTTGCTCTGTGGAGAAGGATCCTGCCCTGATTTTTTAAAAAATATGGAGAGAAAAAGAAAACGCTAAGGGAGGAAAGAGTTTCTAGTGGTTAGGGTTGGAACAGGCTCAGGGTCAGGCTTCGGAGAATCCTATCCCTTCCACGGTGGCAGCAAAGAAGCAGAGAAAAACAAGGAAGAGTTCTTACCAATTAGTTTATTCAACAATCTTGGTGAGAGACAAAGGAATGTGGTCTCTCTCTCTCTATAAGGACGCTGCTCCAAATAAAGCCCCCCCCCACGTCGTCCCTATTCTGCATCACCCTTGCGTCAGCTAATCTGAGCTTCCTGCCTCTGAGCTCTCTGTTCTACTACCCGCAATGCACGCTTGGTCCTGGGAGAGGGGTGGGGATCAGGAACGCTTTCCAAGGACACTGAGTCTGTCAGCTGTCTCTCCCCTGGTGCTTCTTCTTCTTCCTGCTGTTCCTTTTCCAATATTTCCCAGCTTTTCCCTTCTGCAGCCTCTGAACTATGCCCTTCTGCAAACCACTGTTCTAAATCTATACTGTTCTCCTGTTCTCAGGAAGGTTCAGGAGAAGGGGAGGGCGGTCCCCACCATTCCTCCTCAGTCCAGCCCCTGACACTCAAGGGGGACCTGAATTCAAATCCTTCCTCCATTGTTGGAGGCAGTATGCCTCTGAATTCCATTGGCTGGGAATCATGGTGGCTGTTTGGGCTCACTCAGGTCCTTCTCTGGGGATTCCCATGGTGGCATCTGGTTGGCCACTGTGAAGACAGGATGCTGAGATGCAATGGTCCATTGACTTGATCCAGCAGGGCTCTCCTTATGTTATCCACCATGAAGCTTGCTGGGCAGCCTTGAGGCAGCTACTCTCTCTTTCTCAACTTGAACTCCCCTCACAGAGTTGTGATGACAAAATGTCTTTATGGAGGGGGAAGGATCTCGTATGCTGCCACCAGGGATTGAACCTGGGACCTTCTGCATGCAAACCAGCTGCTCTAACCACTGTGCTACAGCCCTTCCCTTAGGACATGGGAGCCCAGGAAGCTGCCTTATACTGAGACTCATTTATCCATCTTGCTCAGTATTGCCTACACTGACTGGCAGCAGCCTCCCCAGGTTTCCAGGCAAGAAGCTTTCCCAGATGCCCAAGGCTTGAACCCTGGGCCTTCTGCGTGCAAAGCACGTGCTCTTTCACTGAGCCCATGGCCCTTCCCCTCAGACCCAGGACTATAGGAAGCTGCCTTTGAGACAGAGACAGACTTCCAGAAGAAAATGCAAGGAAGATAATGAGAAACGAAGACGATCAAATGTGCTCTCACCACATATTGAGTGTTTCAGCTGCCTGCCACTGTGGAATTTCAGAAACAGCGGGATGACCGAGTGTGTGTGTGGGGGGGGGGTGGATTTTCTTTTTCTAAGCAAGAATGAACAACTTCTGAGTGAAACGGATCTAAAAGAAAAAGGTTAACTAGGTCTGCCAAGCAGTGTGATAGAGATAATTGGGGGAAGTTAATCATGCACCAGGAACGAGTGGAGGGGGTGGGAATATTCTTCTCATTCCCTGGTAAGAGTTAACCATTGCCTCAGCCACTTTTGTTTCAGAGACAGTGGGATTATGTAGACAGGCAGTCTTCCAAGCTCACAAGCCAGATCCCTGCTTCCCCCAATGAAAGGAAATAGGAACCAGGGGGAGCTACCGGCTTCAACAGCATATGTTACCTCGTGAGGAAAGCGACCTGGAAAGTCACATCATAGCATGCTTGTGTATTATATAGCACGTTTGTGTGTGTGTGCACGACTCCCTTGTTACAACAGCTCCACTGTTTGCTGGTCAGTTTCTGGGCACAATTCAAAGTGCTGGCTGCAAAGCTGTATACGGCTTAGGTCCAGGTTCTCTGTGAGACTGTATTCTCCCTCATGAACCTGCCCGGGCTCTGAGATCTTTGAGGGAGGCCCTTCTTTCACTCCCAACACTCTCCCAGGTACACTTGGGAGGGACATGGGAGAGGGCCTTCTCGGTGGTGGCTCTCAGACTCTAGAACTCCCTTCCTAGAGAAGCTAGACTGGCTCCCTCCTTGTAGTCCTTCCACCAGCTGAAGACTGTTGTATTCTAGCAGGCCTTTTGGAATTGACTGGTGGTGGGGTTCCCTTCTCCCTTTATTTAAGGAAATATTAGTGTGCTCTTTTTATTATCTGTATTTGAATAGATTTTGGGGGGTATTGTTTTAATTCTGTACATTTTAAGGATTACCTTTGAGATCTTTTTAGCTTTTTGTATTTTATCTGGCTTGTGTAAACTGCCTTAAGTCCCAGTGTGGGGAAAAGGCAGGCTATAGATGAAATAACAACAACAACAGCAATAATAGTGAGATATCTGCTTACACACACAGAGAGAGCAGATAAGACTGAAATTTACACTCCCAGAGAATCAGTATTAGTCTTAAAAACAGTATCAAGTCCCTACAAAGCAAACAGCATGTCTCAGAGGTCATTTCACCCACAGAGAGAGTTTCTTGACAACCAGCTGCAGGCCTTTGCCAGTTCCATTCTAGCTCCAAAGTAATTTATTTCTAACCACCCATGCAATGCACACCTCAAGCATACACTGGAAGAACACCAAAGCCTGCCTCCCCCCTCTTTTCCCTACCCCCAAATTGAGCAGGTGATGCATCAAAGCCACATCTAGTAGCCGCCAGTCATCAACAGTGGCCAAAAACATCTTCCAGCTGTTTACTGGAAGCCTAGATAAAGAGCCATCTCACTTTGCAGCGGCTACCATATCACAGAGGGGTTTTCATCCATCAGGTCACATGCGCCAACCCCTACTTGGTGACTTATTGTACAGGTTGCCATGCTTTCAACAGAAGGATAGGATGCCAAGCTACACACACACACAAATGTTTTCGACTCGCTGATCCAACTACCTAGGCAAAAAGGAGATCAGGGGGCAGGAATTTCCATGTTTTCTTTGAAACCAGCTGGCAAAATGCTCTGGGCAGGGGCAAAGCAAATCAGCAGGAGGCCCCACAGGCATTTTCTGAAAACATTTCATTCCTAGGAGATGAGGCTCCTCTGAGGACAAGTGAACAGAAAAACAAATTATAGATGGAAGACAGGAAAGAGAGATGATGAAATCATGGTGGCAAGGGTGAGGTGGAGGAGGGGAGCACTAGGCAGAGCACGAGAAAGTCAATGGTACCTGGAGAGTTTCTGATAGATTTCAAAGACAACAGCCCCTTCAGCCATCCACACACCCTCTCAGTCATAGGGAAGAATGGGCATCTTCAAATCAGACAAGGGTCAGCAACTGTGAGCCTGCAAAATTCCGGCCATGTAGCAGTTTTATCTGCTACCAATTTTAATTAAGGAATGGTTAAGATAAAGGAAGAAAAATGTGGCCCAGTTTCACTCATAAGGAAAATATATATATTTCCACTTCCCTATCATTTGCTTCTATAGCTATTTTTTTCATTTAGCTATGTGTAGATAAATCTTATATACAGTGGTGCCCCGCAAGACGAATGCCTCGCAAGACGGAAAACCCGCTAGACGAAAGGGTTTTCCGTTTTTGAGTTGCTTCGCAGGACGAATTTCCCTATGGGCTTGCTTCGCAAGACGAAAATGTCTTGCGAGTCTAGAGATTTTTTTCCCGCTTTCCCCCCCCTTTATCTAATCTGCTAAGCCTTTAATAGCCTTTAATAGCCTTTTAGCAGCTAATCCCCTAAGCCTTTAAGCCTTTAATAGCCGCTAAACCGCTAATAGCGCTAATCCGTTAAGCCGCTAATAGGGTTGCTTCGCAAGACGAAAAAACCGCTAGACGAAGACTCTCGCGGAACGGATTAATTTCGTCTTGCGAGGCACCACTGTATAGCTATATAGACCAAGAGTAGACCCACTGAAACTAATGGATTTAATGGCAATGGATACCCAACATGTATGTTATCATGGGAACCACCCTGAGATCTGTGGATGAAGGGCGGTACACAAATTTAATAAATGAAGATGATCTGGCGAGAGAAGGTCAGAGGAAGGGACTGCCAGGCTGGGCTGCAATTTATCCCCATGGCAATGGGCCCAGGCAGCACTGATTGGCCGGCCCGGGCCCACCCCCCAGGGAAAGCCCACCGAAGACCTGCCAGCTCAGGCCAATCACACACAGGTGGTCAGTCAAGTCCCCGGCCCCCTCACTGGATCATCACAGGGCCTGTGGTCTGGCTGCAACACAACCCACCAGATAAGGTGTGCAGACTTCTCCACATTTATGAAGCAATTTGTGAATTTAATTCCTCATACAATTCATGCAAATAGTGCAAATTTCTCCTAACAAACACCATTTTTGTTTGCAGTTTTGACTAGTGTACACATTTTTGCAAGCACTTTCTTGTAATGCAATGCATTTTTGTATTGTTATTGTTATTTTCGGCAATAATGCATTTTTGTGAATGATGTTGGTTGTGGAACTGCATCACAAAATTTGGATAGGTGTGAATTTTGAAGGATGGCTGTGTTTCAGTCCGCGTATTGTTTCGGAAAGTGCTGGTTTGATAGAGTCACCTTTAAATGCAAACCAAATCAAATCTGTCCTCCATCCCTGTTCCCATGTGGACAGCAGGAATTGAGAATGGGGGAGAATTTGGTTTGCTTCGACTTTTAAAACAAACCAACTTAATTCACAGTTCTTGGATACATATAGAAATTGGAGGGTGCACTTTTACCCAGTTTTGCAATGCATCTTTGGTTCCAAATAAATGCACTGTTTAGCGGGAAACACACGTAAAAGCATTAAAAGATGCATATTTCAAGCCACATACTAAATGTGTATCTTAAATAAGAACTGTATGTGTGAACATGTGGAAAATTGACATGGAATATTATCTTTACAATTGGTTTGTGCATCGTAAAACTAACACGGGCATTGCTTTAAAACACTTTGTTAGGTGCCTTTTGGGTATGGAAGAGTTTGCAGTTGCTGCCCCTAACAATTTAATCATTTTGGGCACTTTAATCGTATTCATCAACCTCTTTTTTCACACCTTCTTGACGTTCACCTCCTCCATGGGCATCTTTGTCTATGAAATCGAACATCATGATAATTAGGACTGCGCTGAATATTTGAGTCTTGTATCGAGCTGATACCAGCGAGGCAGGAATTCTTCCTATAAAGCACATTCTGTGCACGCGTTTGCCTCTCAGCACTCTTCCTCCTGCTTCTTTATGCTTCTTGAATTAGTTGCCATCGGTGAGCCCACCCAGTCAGGGATCACTTGTGAATGGGATGGTGTTTTTGTCTTGTTAACTGATGGGGGGATGTCATGATGTGCCTTCTTTTAAATGAAAAAGTTAGCTTTATTTTTTTGCACTTCAGCCCTGGATAAACATAGCATTTACCTCTTTGGTACAGCTGCCAAACAGTATGATGTAATCATGTATAACACCCAGGTAAGCTATCAGGGAGCAAATCAACAAGGAGGCAAAGGGCAGAGGATGTAGCATTCTGCTACTGCCTCTAAACCGTTTGTGTTCCGGATTCTCTCCTGGGAACATTTGAGGCTGCCATATATAGAATTGGATCTTTGGCCCATTATAGCCCAATCAGGGCAAGAGCTCTCAAGCCTGAAACCCCCTGCATTCAAAACACATCCCCCACCAAACTGTGACACCTCCTTCCTAATAAAATGCAGTCTAGACATATGAAGGTGCTTTAAAACTACTGGGGTCCTTTGAGCCCAACTCTGGCTATGCTATTTGACAGTGACTCTGATCCAAAATCTCAGCCAAGGGCTTTTCCAGGCTCTGTTGCCTGATGTAATCTAGTCTGAGCCCCTGCTGATGCAGGAAATTCACTGCTACAGAGATCCCTGATAGGTGACAACAAATCAGTCCCTGTTAAAAACCCTCTTGCAAACGGGTGAATCCACCACCTTTCTGAGGCAACGCGTCCTACTGTCAAACCGCACAATACTATCGGAAAAAAATCTTCCGAAACATTTGAACCCCACTGGTCCAGATCCTGC